TTTGCTAGGGTATTCACCAAACCATTTGCAGTCCTTTTTACCCAACCAAATTGAGAGTTGAACCTCCTTGCAAGTATGTCAATTTGCTAGGGTATTCACCAAACCATTTGCAGTCCTTTTTACCCAACCAAATTGAGAGTTGAACCTCCTTGCAAGTATGTCAATTTCCCTATAGACAAATTTGAGCTTCCAAGGTGCTGATGTGATTTGTTTAGCCCAAGAAATGACCAGTAGTGAGTCTCCTTCAATTTCTAAATCTGTTGCTCCAATCTGCTCATCCAGCTTTAATCCTTGTAGGAGAGCCAGAGATTCAGCCTGAATTGAGTCACCAATACCTATTGGTCCTAAGAAAAGTGCCACAACTTCTCCTTGATGATTTCTAAGCACACCCCCTATACCTGCCTTTCTCGGGTTGCCAAAGGAACTCCCATCAAAGTTTAGTTTTAGTTTATTTAGTGCAGGTGGCTTCCACTCCACTCTCACACTTTCTTTAGGCACATCTGTGTGTGCCACTTCAGTCCAATTCCTTAGAATGTCATTCGTGGAGAGGTTTTTGAATAGTTCCATGGTCATCACCCAATGTGCAGTTTTGATTTTTATGACTTCCTCCTTTGATTTGCTTTTTTCAAAGAAGATTCTTTGGTTTCTTTCCTCCCATATAGTCCATACCACAGCAGCTCTTGCTGCCTTCCATAAGCCTTGTTATGCATGAGGATATATAACCATAGAAGCAAGCATCTCATATCAGATTGTAATCATATAATATCAATGCATATAAGACTACCAAGAATAGGAATTCTATGGATTGTTAGAAGCAGGCAATGAGGCAATTAACCATATAAATGGCTAAATATTTTTTTATCAATAAATGGCTAAATAATTTAAGCTATTCAATAAATAATAAGAGCTATTTCTCTTAGATCAACTTGTATTAAAGCTTACAATTCTATAAAACATAGGACTAGAAAACAATGAGAAAATGTGGATAGCAAGTAGGAGATTCTGCATAATGTACTGAAAGTTTGAAACAATAGGTTTTACCGGCATATGTTCTGATGGAGCCTATCTTGAAGGTCAATAAAACTGTTATATCTTGCTTCATCAAAAGTTACACCTCTTAAAACAGCACAAACGACATAGGGACGTATCAAAGATGTCTGCAAATAAACACATATTAAAACCATAAAACCATGAAATGGCATGTAGTGTAAAAATACTGCATAAATGACTTAATTAATAAATCAATACCTCTGGTTTTACATGCATTTTAAGCAAGGATTCACTTGGAATGTTGGAAACTATGTACTTGGGAATTTCATCAAGCCCCATGAAAATGCGAAGGGCTTGTGCAAGCCCTTCAAGACAAAGCAAATCATATCTGTTCAAGGAAGAAATAAATGAGGTAACAAAAAAAATACTCGAGAATTTGCAATTTGACAGAACTTATTTCCCTTGATATGATAAGAGGCAGAACAGAATTCATTTTGCAAGACAAAAGAGCCCCATTAAGGCTTGGTATAACTAAATTGAGCTATTCCAAACTCTATCTCTGCCAAACAGAAATAGGCAGACAGAAACAAAGAATTCCTTTTTTATTAGTAACATAGAATACCTGTTTGCTGGAACCTCGATTTTGTATATAACTTCCTCATCTTCTCCAGCTTCTTCTTCCAAATGTTTTTCTTTTCTGATAACGGCCTTTTCTGTTGTCTGAAACAAGAACCATATTAGGTTTTGTTCTGCTAGGTTGATGATTCAAGTTTCTTTTTTGATAAGCTAAAGTATAGGGTATTGTAATCAATTTAGTAAGTTTTGTATCAATTCAAAAAGTATTCTAATTGCTAATTTTAGAAAAGGAAAAGATACTGGGAATAGGGTTTATAAAGTGTTCGCTTGTATTTTTTTTATGAGCAACCACAAAGAATAGAATTATTAAATTAAAGGAAGAATATACAACAAGGAGTTGTGAACAAAAAGCATGCCAAATACTAGGCAAACCCCCCAACCCATATTACAATTAAGCCCAACACATAAACTGTCTTTGAATGCCTTGCTTAGCTAAGCTGTCTTCCAAGCTGTTAGAAGACCTTCTAACCCAGCGAACTTGGATGATCATGTCTTTCGACAACCACAAAAATCTACAGAAATCATTCCTTAGCTCCCAAGCTGCCCTATCTCCAGCCATCCCACAACAACCTTTGAGTCCCCTTCGATAATCAATCCGTCAATTCCCAGTTCTTTAGCCTTCTCTACCCCATAAACTGCTGCCAAGAGTTATGCTCTCATTGAACTACCTTGCTCAATTGGGGCTGAAAATAAGACATTAATGTTGATTCCCTCAACCCTAATAACCTCTCCAATACCTGAAGGACCCAGGTTACCCATACTGCTAGCATCAAAGTTCAGCTTCTTCCAACTAATCATTGGGGAATACCAGGCCTCTAGAAGTTTTTGTTTCCTAGATGAAGAGCGCAACTACCCCAAATTCTGGATAATATCCTCCACTCCAAAGTCTGAAAATAGTTTCAAAGTTCTTACACAATGAGAAACTTTTAAGAGTAATCCAATCAATTAGCACCTCCAAGCTTCTCTCCATCTCCTCAAAGATTTTTGCATTTCTTTCTTCCCACACTGTCCAACAAACCGCTGCCCTTGTACATCTCCATAAAATCCTACCTCTTTTTTTTTTGTGCTACTCGAAGCAGATGAGCTAAACAGTCCATCCGAACTGGCAGGAGAGTTCCACCTAAAACCAAAAAGAGGAAAAAAATCCCAAATGCAGCAAAGGGACAAGAGATTAAGAGGTGGAAAGCAGTTTCACTACTCAACTTACACAGAAAGCACTAGTTGGGGGATACAGCCCAATTTGGTCTTTTCCTTTGCAATAGATCACAAGTATTTATGCACCCATGGAACACTACCCAGCAAAATGCACTGCCCTTTGGAGGAATAGGAATACACCAGATTTCTTGTACAAGGAAAGTGGGGAGAGAAGTAGAAATGAAGGAGTTAAATAGAGATTTACAAGAAAACTGCCCAGCAGAAGAAAGAAACCACCACCAAGCACCCTTCCCATCATTGACAAGGGTCACTGACTCCAAAATACTCAACAAGTTAGACACCAAATGGATTTCAAACTCTCTTAGATTTTTGGCGAACCCCAAATTCCAATTCAACCCAGAAGGGGAGTGGTGAAGATCAGCAAAGTCAGCCACAGGTTTACCTTTGAAATTGGAGAGGACAAAAAGGGAGGGAAAGACATCTTTCAAAAGGAACTTGCCACCCATACATCTTCCCAGAACCTTATTTTATTACCAGAAGCTAGATCATACCTTAAATGGTTGAGGAAAGGAAGAATGCCATGAATTGCTTTCCAAGGTGTAGCCAGAGTTGCTCTTTGCAGACATTCCGCATCCCAGCCATTTCTTACATCCCATGAATACTAGCCACCACTCCATGTCATAATCTCACTTTCCACAGGGAAACGCCAAAGCCAATTGCTTAACAGTGCCTGATTTTTCAATCTCACATTGCCAAACCCCAACCCACCTTGAAATAACCTCTACTCTCACAATGCCTAATTTCCTTGAAATAACCTCAATTTTCTACCTAAAATGTCAATAACAATCTGTTAGAATGACCCACGGGTGAAGTGTTATGGGTTTTGTTTACAGAAGTTAGACTTGCTTTTGAACAAACTGATACTATAGCATTCTCCTTTTCTTACATACCTCTAACCCAACCTAAAGGCCAGATTGTCCATTAGATCAATTATTTTCTGCAGTAAAGGTCATGCCTCACAAAGCAACAACGTGTTTGTTAACCATCAAAGAGTTATTCACCTAGTTCAGTAGAGTGGAGAGTTAAGAAAATCCATTCAAGTCTTGGTAGCCTAACACACAAAGTTTTTTAAGAATTTCCCCAATAAATCTGATCATTGACTAGGCCATCTCAGCACGGCAGTAGAGAAGCTGTTGTAGGCATAAATTTCAAGATCACTTTTTCAAGAACTCATAGGTTACAAGCTGATTAATTTTCCTTTTGTAAATAGAGTTCCTTCAGTGGAAAGCAGATAATCCAGCGGGTTGGATATCATGACCAGACCAATATTTTTTTATTTCATCATATAAAAAAAATCAAAAGGTTGGGATTTCAGAAATTAACTTACAAGGAATTTACTGAATTAGCATAACTGGGTCCTTCATGGTATGATAATTTTCAAGGTGAATTCACAAAAAATTGCCAAATATCAACTATATAGGAGTATCGGTGTTGTTTTAAGCAACTTTTCAATAGGGATCATGATTAGAAAAAAGTGATAATTGGTGAGGACATTGGTGAAAGGACCTTGACATGAAATTCATTGTCAAGTGGAATTGCATAAACCTCATACCATGATGGCAGCAATATCTTTGGCCTGTTAAATGGTTGATGGAGTACAAAGTACAAACTAAACAAAAATTCAGAATTCGGACCTTTTGTTATTGTAATGAAAAAGGCACAAGGAGCACCACCATTGATAAAAGACATTATTTCTCATTGAGCATATTAATAACTCTACGTAGTACAAGCCTACAAGGAAATTGTTGAAGATTTAATTTTTTTGAAGATATGGTGGCTGTTAATAGTAACCAAGATGGAGAAGCACTTGATAATGATGACAAAATGACATGGAAGGGGCTAATATATGTTGGGAATCTGCCTTGGATAGCAGACAATTGTAATATACTCTGTTGTTTCTGGATCTCTTGTATACTTGTGAGTTATGAGAATGCTAGCTCACATCAGCCAAACATGTCTTCTTTAAGTTTTTCAATAAAATTACTTTGAACTGTTATAAAAAAAAAAAAAAAAAAAAAATTGATGATGAAGTGATCATTTTTGCCACATCTTGGCAGGACATTGACTCCTCCAAATACTGCAAGTTGTAGGTTTTATAAAACATCAACCTAAAATTATTTAAATTGACATAGGTAACACCAATAATTTCATAGACACAAAATGTTGAGAAATAGTTCACTTGTCATATTGGTTGTGTTTACCAGTTTGAAGTGAAGGAGGCAGATGAACAATGCTTGACAAGCAACGGAAAATGTTCTCCAACATGAGACCCATAGTACAAGATCATGAGATAACCATAGGCCTTCTCGGTCAAAATTTTCAAATAGGAACTGAAAACCAAGGTTTGACAAGTGAACTATGGAACCAAAATTTGAGATGATTTTTTTATAATAAGTTTCAGATACATATTAAAGCGAGGAATTTAATCTATGGAATAACATGAATGGATCTCCAAGAACCCTTGTTGCTAGGCTATGACTATGAGATTATCTACAAGATGGGGACAAAGAATGTAATGGCTGAATAGGTAAGTATTGTACCCATACATGTACCTATCTATAGTGCCCTTGAAGATATTCAAAGAGAGTGAACTGCTGCTACTGCCACCCAAACATGGGACACACAAGATCTTAAATACAAAGGCCAAATCATATTAGTAGCTAACTATGCATAGAGGCCAATGATACTTCATTAATTCCATCCTTCATCACCAGGTCATCCAAGGTTCTTATGTACATGTAAGTGTATGTATCAGGCCTTCTGTTGGAAAAGCATGCTAAAGGAGATCAAGCAGTATGTTGAGTCACACTCCAAGCCACCAATGAAATAAGGGCAAAAGAATGCTGATCCAAGTCCAAATCCATCACATGTATGACCGGGCATTTATATGGACTCTGTGGATGGACTACCACTCTCTCAAGGACAGAATGAAAATTCTGTGGTTGTAAACACGTTGACAAAATATGTTTACTCATGTCCAGTATCACACTTTCATAAGCTGCCACAGTAGCTCAAGTTTCTGTTGAGCATATTTCAAATTGCATAGGACACTACCATAGCTGTCAATTCAATGCCTAGGTGACAAGGTGCTCATAGAGGGTAACTCACTTAATCGCCAAGGTATTTTATACATGGTGCTATTATATAGTTTTTGATACGGCTAAAGTTGAGCACCAATCGGAGATTGCCACGTGTCCCATTCAAAGGGGCAATTTTCACAATTAACGGCACCATGAAGGGCAATCAGTGACTTCACTGGACAACCTGGACGCAACATGCCCGGTACTACTTTCGGCGGCTAAGTCGACCTAACTATTTCCTTCAACCAAGCTGACTTTGATACCTGACATTAGGCACCTTGCCCTCGGAAGTGAGCAGCATAAGTTGTGAGGTTGAAATCTACTCTCCACCCAGAAGAAGGCATGTGTTCAAACCGAGGAGAAAATACATGGCCAAACCAAGAAGACACATTTATACAAACTCATCATATGTGTTCAACTGACCGACTGAAGAAGTAACGCATGGCGCGCACAAACAAAAAAGTAACCGGTCTGTGGACGCCCATATAAAGGCATACCATTAATGAACCATGTGCCACAGGCAAGATCAGGATTGTTGGTCGCTACATGTAACCAAGCTGATCAGATCACTAACGCCAACACCCCCAATGTGAGCCCATGACTGATCACGTGCACATGCCATGTCCATCATGGGTTGAACAAACAGACTAGGTTCTCACTCCTATAATTAGGCGGATACTTGGAAGGTACAACTCTCTCAAACTCACTCATTCTCAATTCTTTTTTTCTTTTTTTTTTTTTGAAAAGTAAATCCAACAGGTGACAAGATGGCACCTCACTACACATATC